TATTAAATATTTATTTTAATTATATTATAAAAAAATATAATTAATTAATTTTTCAAGATGTCATTTTTAATCATTTTACATGATTATCAACTAGTTTTTGTCAAACATAATTTGCTTATCAGCTAACTTATTAACAAGTTTATTAAACACAGCCTAATATATAAAATAAATTTATTGATATTTACCATGAGTGAAAGTAAATCCATTTATTGCTTTAAGATACAATATACAAAAATTAAGCGTGTTTTTTAAATCCTATTAGATTTGTTTAACTGACAATTAGACATGACTTTTGAGGATTCTTTTTAGAGGTCATTCTTTTACCACTAGTTTGTATACCCGCGCAATGCAGCGGGATGTAAAAGTTCATTAAAATTTATTCAATTGCAAAATATCAAATTTTTTCAAGATGTCATAAAGCCTACAACATTTGAACTTACAGTAGATTCAAATAACAATCTATGCGAAGTGTTGGTGTTAGTAGTTTCTGCAATCATTTGATATTTTTTATTAAAAGATAACTTTTCAAGATCATATGCATCACCAAACAAATTGCAACTTCAGATATCATAGTTAGCATTYGGGAGCACCGAAAGCCAAAAAGTGATGTCTCAAAATTCAACTTATTTAATTCATTTCTTAACCAGATTTTGCCTAATTCCAAATTCAAAACAACAACAAGCCATCACATGTAATTGTTTCTTAAATCTTCAATATTTTTATATAACAAAATTTGTTAAATAAATATATTCCACTACAAAGTGAGTTCATTGACAACAGTTAAATCTGGCCAAGATTGCAAAGTGAGTTCATTAATTTGAATACAAATAGATACAATAATCATAGACAACTTGTTACCAATCAAACTTGTTATAAGATGGTATAGATAAGAACCAACCGGTTATATGTGACCCTTAATCAACCCCTCTTTAATCGKTCAAAATGTAATCGATCCCGGTCCGAATTCAAAACTTGGTTGGAATCAAGATCAAAGGCAACAAACATCAACTCCACTCAATACAAACTCTTTAATGTATCACAAGRATTTAATCTAASAACTCTTCAAGGAAATCAKAATAAAATCTAAAACCAATTCCTTCTGTTAAATGAGTTACAAACCCCAAACACATAAATTAGAAACACCAAACTTTCAAAATCACACTCAAAGACAAAGCTCTCAACTTACATTAAATTTGTCTATACAACAATTTTTTACATCAAGTCTACTTATTATATCGACGATGTGATCACCCGCGAGAAAGAAAATAGCAGCCCATAGGAACGCTAAGAAACGCTCGAGAAGGATAGTCGATCTTTGAGAGTATCAAAAATGGATGAAGCTACCGAATTCTGTTGTAAAGTGTTTATGAGGCGGCCTAGCAACTCGTCGTTTTTAGTCTGTGATGCAGCATCGGTAGCTTCCTTTGCCATTCGAGCATATGCATGTTACACACAAACACATAAGCCACAACCAATAAGACTAATACAACTTTGACATCTTAGCAAAACTGCAACTTATTAATCCACATTTGATGACAAAGTTTCAATCGGCTTCTGCCTTCTATAAGCAACATAATCTGAAACACAAATGAAGTTTACAACTAACAAAAAGAGATTTGTATCTATGTTAATTGGGAATAATAGAACAATCTGGACTTGTGTATGATTTTAGAGCATGCAGATAATCTTTTCATTTGCATGTTTTTGTGATCCTTGGATCCTTGCCCTTGGCAACATGTTTTTATTGAAGAAGATTAAAATGGTTTTTTCTATAATTCAAATTGTTCGTTCAGCACAAAAAATAAACTAAGGGGATATTTACCAAATACTTACCCAGTAAGTGCTTATCAGTAAAATTTGACACTACTATTTATTTACCGGGTAAGATTTTAGTCCACCAAAACGACATCGCATGTAACAATTTACCCGGTAAGCGCTTACCGAATTTATCCGGTAAGGTAATGTGACTTGGTAAGCGCTTACCCGGGTAAACRTTTGGTAAAYRGTCCCTAACAGTTGTTCATTTCACCCTTATTCCAAATAAATGTYTAATTCACACAGSGCTTAATGAAAACAAAAAAGAAAAACAAACATTCACTCAGTCTCGTGGAAGCTTCAGAAATGATGTCACATACATCAGGTCATAATGCCACATGCAGATTGGTAAAAATGCTTATAACATATCACAAAACCATCTGCATTTAGAATMCTACTATTCAGATAAGAGGCRGCAGCAAGGAACAACTTGAGAAATCCCCATTCTTTGAGAGGCTTAAAAGGAAAAAWTTTGGGGTAAAAKTTTCCTCCATCTTAAAATCTAATCACATTTCATTTCTACAATAGCRACATTTGTAATCACATTTYATTTCATGATACAAATTTTGAATTTAAAAAAGGACAGCTAGGAGATCTCCAACACTTAAGTTAAAATGGAGATTCCTTACAAATTCAATTAACCACAAACTAAAATTAACTACAACAAAGTTCATGAAAAATGGATTTACTTACATTTGAAAGTGTGGTTTGCTTTTTGCAGGTGATTCTTTTCACAGATCYCSTGGATGTGTACTTGATGCAGTACTTGACCTCTATTCTACCCTTTTCTTGCTCACTTCACGACAGAAACAATGAAAACAAAATGAAGCAGTGTAAACAGRAACAAAAACAGGTTTGTAAACAGAAACAGAAACAAACTCAAATGGAACCATGATCATAACATACCACACAAACTCAAAAACTTAAAAAAGGTTGGGTAATATGAGGCAGTGTAAACAGAAACAGAAACAGGTTTGTAAACAGGTTGTGCTAATATAACAGGTTATGAACAACCATATGGAACCTTAATGCATATATGTAAATTAGGTTTGTAAACAGGTCTGTTTGGTTGAGTCCTCGTAATTGATTGCAAGCAAAGAAAGCAGTAGAGAATGGTGATGACAAAAAGGCTGGAATCACATGCAGCTGTTAGTTAGCATGTCTATCATCCCATAAATACATGTCCAAGGGTCAAGGACTATAGACTCACAAAGAACAAGTTTTCCCTATAGACTACAGTAATATACCCCCTGATTTCCTAACACC